GTATGTGATCAGTTTGGCTGTTGCATGGTTGCACCGCAGAATTTTGTAGTATGGCAGTGTGGACAAGGCAAGACCCAAGGTGTAGAGTAAGTGCCTGGGGCCCTCGTGGTGTCTGAAACAAGTGCAAACCCGTGCAACCTATCGGCCACAAGGTGTGACAAGTCCGAAGGCTCCTGTGGAGTTGCCCCTGGCCACGGTGCTAGAGACGCCCCGTGTGAATTTCTCATAATCGTATTATTTGCGTGTGGCCCGTGGCCCGCGGCCCGCGGCTCGCGGCCGGGCTGCGGCGTGCGGCCACGCCGCCTGCGGCCATGCCGCCCACGGCCCGCGCCACAACGACAACAAGAACATTCACAACAACAGCAACATTTAGGGTTCAGATGGTTCAGGGTTTCGCACCCACCCACTCCTTTTAGGGTTTGACTGTTTCGTAGCTACCCACCCGTTTTGGGCTTCAGGGTTTCGCAACCACCCACGGTCACCCACGCAATCCTTTTAGGGTTTCACTCCTTTTCGGGTTCAGGCTTTCGCTCCCACGCGCTCCTTTTTGGGTTTGGGGTTTCGCAGCCACCCACTCCTTTTAGGGCCGGTTCAGTGTTTCGCACCCACCTACCCACTCCTTCTAGGGTCTGAGGTTTCGCGCACACCTACGCCTTTAGGGCCACCCGCTCCTTTTAGGGTTTGGGGTTTCGCGCACAAGGAGGAAGGAAGGAAGGAAAGAAGAAGGGAGAGAAGAAAGGAAGGAAGTAAGGAAGGAAGAAAGCGAGGAGACAAGGAAGGAAGGAAGGAAAGGAAGCAAGGAAGAAGGATCGAAGGAAGAAAGGAAAGAAACAAAGCAAGGAGGGAGGAAAGGATGGAAGCAAGGAAGGAAAGAAAGAAGGAAGAAAGGAAGGACGGTAGTATGTCAGTATATAAAGTAAATATGGTGTATATATATATATATATAGTATATATAGTATATATAGTATATATAGTATATATAGTATATATAGTATATATAGTAATATAGTATGTATACTGTTTCATAGTATATATATATATAGTGTATATATATATATATTTATATTATATAGTATATGCAGTATATAAAGTATATATAGTACATATAGTATAATTATATAGTATATAGTATATATAGTATATATAGTATATATAGTATATAGAGTATATATTGTATATATAGTATATATAGTATATATCGTATATAGTGTATATAGTGTATATACAGTATCTATAGTATATATAGAAAGTCTATACAGTGTATATAGTATATATAGTATATATAGTATATATAGTATATATGGTATATATATAGTATATGTAGTATATATAGTATATATAGTATATTTAGAGAGAGAGAGAGAGAGAGAGAGAGTACATATGTATATATATATATATATACATATGTACACCTGTGGAGGGCCTGTTATTTGGGATCTTGTTTTTTGTCTTTTTTGTTTGGTGCTTTTCCTTCGGTTTTCCTGCGGAAAATACTATTTTCCTACGTTTTGGACGGATCTGGTGTGCTTTTCTTGGTTTTTTCCACCGGAAACGAAAAGAACCCCAGGAAGAAAGAAAGAAACACCCCAGAACAAGGACCAAAGCAAGGAAGAAGAACAGAAACGGAAGACAGACGGTTTGAAACCCAGGTCCAACCCTCCGCCCCCGCCCCCATGAGAAAACTAAACTCCCGGCCGGCTCTCTAGAGCCGCGAAGAAATGAACAAAAACGTATTGGCCAACACACAAGAAGGAGAAAGCCAGACAACAACGCTTCAGGGTGGTTCAACGCGAAGTAAACACAATCAGTCGTAAAGGTTTTAAAATGTTTGCAAATGGGGGGGCTGCGCCTCCCCCAACCCCCCGTTTTTTTAGACTAAACCCCCCACTCACTAAAGCCGCGAAAAGGTGCACAAACGCATATTCGCCAACACACAATTAATTAAGAGGGTTTGACGCGAAGAAACACAATCAATCGTGAAGGATTTATAAGGTTTGCAATTGGGGGGGTGCGCCCCCCCAACCCCCCCGCTGTTTTATAGACATTCAACTCCCCGCTAAAGCAGCAAAGACAATAACAGCAACACTAACCACAGCCACAACCACAACGACGACAACAACAGCAAGGTAGTGTAAGATTTCCTGACGGGACCAAGAAAAATCACACCAAATCCGTCCAAGATGCAAGCAAAATAGTGTTTCTCTTGGGTAAAGCCAAGCAAAAGAAGCAAAGTCCAAAATGAGTCCAACATGTACGGCCAACGGTTTATTCCCTAGAACAACGCAAGGTTACGTATTCTTCGCTCGACGTATTGTAGGTTTTTCTGAAAAAAACCAAAGACAATCACACGAAGTCCGTCCGCGATGGTAACAAAAAGGCGTTGTCCCGAGGAAAACCTAAGATAATGTACGTTTTACGCGCGCGCGCGCGCGTTTCAACTGGGCCTACACGGGGCATTCCAAAGATCCCTCATTGTCAGATCCTCATGTTCAGGTGGTCTTTGGGGCCCGTTTTTGTAGTGGAGGATAGCAGATAGCAGACCCTACTGGAGCCCGCAGTAGTGGTAGCAAAGCCTCAACAAGCATCCAAGACCTGAAACTTCCGATACAACAGTGCAAATAGCTTTGCCTGTGTGAAGCAAAGGTTGCTTAGCGAAATGTAGGTGGGTAGTCAAAACCAGGCCTTTCCTCAGCTTCAACGCTGCCGTTTCTCCACAAATTGATGAGTATTTGGAGCTATGCCGGCATGTTTGTGAGCACGAGCCGCAAAGTTCGGGAGCATCCAGCTCGGCATGCATGCTAAACTGCTAAGGCTAAACCCTGTCCTGCATTCCTGAATTAAACCATGCTCTTCTCACTCCATGGATGAGTCACCACCAGATAGACCTGCGCTCTCATCATCCCGATTGGCTGGCTGTGGTGGGTGATTAGTATAATAGTGGAGATCAAAAATCAAGACGGAGCGAAGCTCATGATGGTCATGCTGGTTTGGTGATTGGTGGTTGGGATTGTAGTGATACGTGTTCTTGTGAATGTTTGTAAATGGTTGTGGTCCCAGGTGATGCAAGTCTTGATATTGACATGTTCGTTGTTGATAATAGTGCTGGTGCTGGTGGTTGCGACAATCATAGCTGCAGTTGACAAGCATCATCGCAATAATGTAAGCTAATCACGACTATCGTCGTCGTGCTCATCATCACCTTCCCCACCATCGCTCGCACTCACCAGCAGCACCAGCAGCACCAGCAGCACCAGCAGCACCGGCAGCACCAGCAGCACCAGCAGCACCACCGGCACCATCAGCACCACCAGCACCACCAGCACCACTAACAGCAGCAGCAGCAACAACAACATAGGTCGGAAACACCAACAGCAATACCGCCAGCACCACCAGCACCACCAGCACCACCAGCACCACCAGCAACACCAGCAATACCGGCAACACCACCAGCAACCAACTCCGGCACTACAGCAGGTGCAGCACCGACCACACCGGTAAACCAACGGACCTGTGCACCCGCACACCGGCAAACTAGCACACCAGCGCAGCAGCATACCAGCACACCCGCGCAGTGGCACATGGCCCACCATCACCACCGCCACTAGCAGTCAACACCAGCGAGATGCCCACATCATCCTGGTCACTGACCTTGAATCTTGGCTTCGTCAGTCATCATCGGTATCGTCGTTGTCACGGTCGCAACCTCGTGGCAGGTCCAACGAGCATCAGACCTCGGACAAGGAGCCGGTCTCTTCAGTTTAGGTTCTGTCGCCGCCTGCATTCTATGTGCTAGGGCCCTATGGCTCTGGTGTAGGAGTCGAGGCTTGCGTGCCTTGCTTGAAAAAGTTCTGAAGACCGAGAACCTGAACAGGGAGAGTACTTGGGAGGATTGTCGGTGATTCCAATCATTTCAATCCACTTCACCGTCCCTTCATGCCCCAAAAACAATCCTCCAAAATTGGAGCTTCGAATCCTTAGGAGCGACTTTGAAGGACCAAGCTCTTCGCTCCAAGTGGGTCCTCTGGGCTCGGCACTCACTTGTGTTCGGAATTCTGGGCTTGGGGTGAAGGCGTTGAGCTCGTCTAAAGTCTAAAGCTTCCAAACCAGAGTACATCTAGATTCTGATTCACTCCTTCCACGCCATGGAATCTTTGTATCTGAAACCCATGGCTGCAGCATCCATCTTCTGGGCAGCTTGAATTTTTGACCCATCAGTTCAAGTCTCGGAACACTACACAACCCAAAACTCTTACTCTAGCGTGACACGCCAAGGCAGGTCTGCTCACTAGCTTCGTGTTTGCAGCCCTCGGTTCCCAGCCCCAACCGCTACGCGAGCTGTACTTTGGACCCTTATTGCAGCTCAAGTCATCGAAACCTCTCTTTCCTTCCACCAGCATTTCGTCAGCAGTGAGTTTTATGATCTTATGTCGTAGAGGCTAAGAACTCCAAATGTTCGCGATCGAAGTTCCAAGACATTTCGATTGGTGGAGTCAAGGAACAGCTGGGCCTCTCTGCAGCTCAGAAAGACAGCTCCCAGTGCGCGGACTGGACCAACACAGTTCATTATGACTGCTCATGGTATCATGATCGTGATGTATCTGTGTGGTTGTTATGCTGGTGACTGTGCCGGTGGTGATTGATGGTGCTGTTGCTGCCGCGGCGGCAGCAGTGGTGGGCTGCTGTCGCTGCCGATGCTTTTGCTGTGCTCATGCACAGGAGGACGAAGAGGAGAAAATTCAGATGCTGCTGCTGATACTGCTGCTCATGCTGCGGCTGATGCTGCTGCTGCTTGTGGCTCTGCTGCTGATGACAACAACGATTGTAGATTTTACCCTGCCTCCATCACTACTGTTGTGGTCCTTAGCTATTCTCTTACGCGACGCACCCCTTGGCCCAAGTCCCCAATGGAAAAAGCCCACAGGGTTGACTTACCAGTAGTTAGTCGTGTCTAGCTGTTGACCTGGGAAACTTCAGTTTATCAGCCGTAGGTTGCTTTGACAATGGACATTGTGCCTTTTATCGCTGCAACGGGCAACACGGATGGTCAGAGAACAGAAGCGGAGGCCAATCGGTATTTCCTAAAACTACTGCTGGAAAACAACCAGGTCAATATCTTCCTGAGCGATCCTCGCATACAGCAGGCACTCGAACTCAGAGCGGAGAGACGGCATCAATTCGTCCTCGACAATGTCTATGCTGAGGCGAATGCGTACATAGCGCACTTGGAAGCCACCGCAGATGTTAACCACCGACAGCAACTAGCATTCGTGAGTCAGTCTACCAATGTGCTGGTAGGGCAACTTCACAGCGAAGCTAGGGTGCTCGAAAGCATTGTTCGTGCAGAACAGCGAACAGCACAAGAGCTTCAGGCACAGCTGACACGCACACATCAGGAATGTCAAGACGAGCGGTCATTGGCTATGCGGTTTGATGCACATCGCTCCGAGCTGGAAGCAGCTGCGCACACACTCACCGCGGAACACAGACAGCACGAACATCATCTCGCTGAGTTGCGCACTTCTTTCGACGAAAACCGTAATGAGCTCATAGAGTATTTGGGTTCCGAATTTGAGGAAAAGCTTCAGTGGGAGGAGAATGAAAGTGAGTTTCGGCTTACCTTTGAGGAACAGCAGTACGACAGCTTGATTGACGATCTTCATGATCGCAATGCGGAGCTTATAGCTGAGGTCAACTCTATAAGGACTGTCTTGACGACAGCGCAAAGGTTCCTGTGTTTACTCAGGGTTGTTTCGGACTTACTCTTCCCGCGGCCCCGCTTGGGTTCAAGCATACACCACGCAACAGCAGCTTGCTTTCAAAAACTTTTAGCTTTAGCTGTTCACTTTCCAGCTTTGCTTCATGCTTAGGCTTTTAGCTGTCAGGACTACTTTTCAGCAGCTTTAAGCTAAGCGAGTTCAGCCAGCCTCGTGCATGGACAACCTGCCGGCCGCTTTCCGCCCTCAGCTGCAGCTCCAACTGACCGGAGAGGTCAGATCACTGCTCGATAGGCTCGTCGACTTGGAGGCTGAGGGGGCCGCACAACGAGCGGAAATCTCCCGCTTGCACTGCAGGGTCAGCCGGCTTGAAGCTCAGGTACATCAAGGTCACAACTGGCTTTTGCACTTAGCGGACAGGGCCACCTCATTGGAAGAGGTCACACAGAAGCTTTCTATCAGGCTGCGGGCCTTGGTCAGCTTGCTCCGCGAAACGCTTTCTGAGACTGTTGCCCGTCTTCGGATCTGGTTCTAGGTATGGCTGCCTCTGGCTCGGGCGGTGGTGATGCACCAGCTTTGCCTTCTAGCAGGGTGGCTACGGACATACTCTTGGCTGACTCATCGCCTTTATGCACGGATGCTGACGCTTTGGAACTTAGGGAATCTTTTCGCAACCACTTTGCTGACTTTGCGGACCCTGAGTACCCTAATCAAGTGCCCTCAGCTTCGGCGCCCACTTTTGAGGTTGCCGATTCAGATGCAGAGGAAGCCTTTGAACCCAGGAGCAAGCTTCGACGCCGCTGGCTTCACCAAGCACATTGTGCCCCGGTGACTCTTCCCCTACCTATGGAAACCAGCCCAGGTGCATCCAGCGGTGATCACTCTTGGCAGCTTATAGAGCAGCACCAGCCGGAGGCCGAGACGCCTTCCTTTGAGGGGCTCACTTCAGGCTATTCGACCTTTCAGTTTTTACCGCTGCGACCAACCCCTCCTCGACCCAGCTTGTCAGCTACGTCGAGGGCACCCACTTGGCGGGCTCCAAGGGTGTGCTTAAGGTACAACTCCCCTTTTCAGGTGGGGCACACCGGGCGTCAGCCTACAGTGGCTCGGCTCCGCCCACGCTCCCCCTTTTCAGCCCCGCTTCAGGCCCCCAGCATTGTACCTGTTCAGCAGTCTACACCGCAAAACTTCCCGGCGGCGAAGGCACTGCCGCACTTTCAGGACGCGTCGGCTTATGCAGCATATCCTACGCTTCAGCAGACTCCTGTTCAGGCATCAATCTCTTTGGCGACTCCTAGACCGGTCCAGTCCTCACCGGCAGCTTTGCGAGTGCCCTTGGAACTGCACCCCCCGGCGTTGCGAGCTCCGACAGCTGGCATGATGACGAGCAAGGAAAATCATCAGGCATGCGATGAGCGGAACAAGGCTCTTTTCGACCAGCTTTGCAAATCGCATGGGGCCTACAGCTCGGTGCTGCAGCAGCTTGAAAGTAGCCGCGAGGGAGCCGTGATTCGGTCCCGCTTGCTGAACAAGGTTAGCGACACCACAGCCGCCCGCTACCTTCGATCTGTTCAGCTTTTCTTTTGTGCCTTTGAGGAGCTGGGCGGCAGCATGGAGGCCATAGATCAGGGTCTGTTCCTCGATGCTTTCTTCGCTTTGTCTCGAGGTGCTGATTCAGGCCCCGTTTCAAATAGCATCAACGTCCTCAAGGCGCTCCGGTGGTATAAGAAACTTCTGGCAATCGCTTGTATGCCCGACTTGTATGGCACCGCTTTCAGCCTGCTCTCCAACCCGGCCGGGCAGGAGAAACGCGAGAGTATACCTCTCCCTTTGTCGTTCGTCGCTTTTCTTGAACGCATGCTCCTGTCTGGCAAGGCAAGCTTGATGGACATGATCTGGGCAGGCTCCTTCCTTGTGGCTATTGGTGCTAGCCTCCGCTTTGCAGATGCACAACACATTCGCTGGAGCACGCTCTGCGTTAGCAGCTTCACTTTGCGAGGAATCTGCTACAGGACAAAGACCACTAAAGGGGGATGCCCATGGGGCCTCCTCAGCTTTGGAGTCTTCTCGTCCTCCGAGGAATGGGGCATGACATGGCTTCCCCACTGGCTTGGGGCACTGGACACAGTATGGTGCGAGGTTCGCTCCCGCTTTGGGCCCGACTGTCTGTTTTTCCTTTGGAGCGATACCGGCTTTGCACCCGCATCCTACTCCCAAGCCCTGCAGAAGCTTCGCTACATGCTTACACTCTCTGGTATAGCACCGGCTCAGGCAGCACAATATACGCTTCACAGCCTCAAGACCACCTTTCTGTCTTGGATGAGTCAGCTGTCTATCCCACTCTCTTCCCGCTTCCTGCAGGGGCACCACAAGGCTCCAGGGTCAGCTCAACTTTACTCGCGGGACGACGTGTGGCCAGCTTTGCGTGCACAGTGGCTGCTTTGGCGTTCAATACACGCCGGCTTTCGTCCAGCGAGACCACAGCACAGAGGCGGCCAGTCCCCGCTTGTTGAGCCACTTGTGGACACTGCAGGTTTCCAGTGGGTGGAGCACTGCCCGGACCTCTCCTGCTTTTCCGTTGGCAACGACTGTCAGTCCTTCTTAGCCCTGGAGCAGCAGGATGGCGACCTCCGTGACGCCCGGGAACGCGTCTGTTAACTTTCCGGAGCCAAGCTTCCACCATGTGTTCGCGCCCGTGCCCAGGTGGACCACTTCGAGGACTCCGACGCGGACGAATCAGGCCCGGCTCGTGCCGCTTCCAGCGCTCCCCGCGATCCGGAGGTCGATCCCACATGGCAAGCTGAGTCCGGTGAGGCACCCAGCCTTTCACCCAACCCGCAGCCGCTTGCTGCCCCGCCCGCTGAGGGTCTCCGCTCTAGCTGTATAGAGGTACGATACCTCTTGGGAGCCTCTGGGGTGGCACACTCTTGCATTTCCCACCCCGGCTCCCGTATGACGTGCTTGGCATGCAGGGACCCTTCCTGTTCAGTACGATGCCACCCCGCTTGTGGTTGCATCTCGGAATTTTCACCTTTTGTCCATTTTCCGCCCGACTCCCGCTTATGCAAGTGGCGGGCTTGTATCATGGCCTCCCTTGACGCAGCTTGAGTGCGGCCAGCCGTTAAAACATTCGACGTGGGCGCACTGCATTTGAATTGCATCAGCTTAGAAATGCTGCTAACTTCCTGAACTGAGTGCTACAGCTTTATGTTCATCGCTTTCTTAGCTCGAAATGCGCTTTAAGCCCACTTTCTTGCCTTGTTGGGTCATGGCGAAACTTTCCCCTGAGTACGCCTTTACACTCCTCAAGACCATGACTGACGAGGAGAAAACCCGCTTCCTCAAGCAGCTGGAGAACGATCCGCTTCTCCCCGTCCACTACGAGCTCATCTTCGGTGGAGGCACCCGCTGTGCAACCAGTCGCAGCACTTATGGCAGACCCCATAGGGGAAAACATCGCCGCCGAGGATTACAGCTTACCTTCAGTGGAGCCGGCTGCTTCACCGTCACCTCCGGCCAAAGCGGCACCCGCTTCTGTCACAGCGGACGAGCCCGAGGCCACCCACGACGACGGTGCACCCGCTTCCAGGACCCCTGCAGATGGCGACGGGGGCAACACCGCCACTGGTGGCGGAGGCGATGGTGTTGCCAACGCAAAACGTTGGCAACGGGAACCCGAGGTGAAAGAACCGCCACCACGGCCGCCCTCTTCACCAAAGGCGAGTCCTTCAACACCGGCTCCGACTGGCCCTCCGCTTAAGGCCAAGAGTGTGGCCTCACCTCCGAAGCCCGCTTCGGCTTCAGGTGCACCGGCCGCACCGACTCCCAGCGCCCCTCCTGCGGCCAAGGAGAAAGCTCCTCCACCTCCGCTTGCAGAAACTGGGGCCACCGACGGCAATGCGGGCACTGCAAGAGAGGCAACGCCCGCTTCTACTACGCCAACGCCCGCTTCGGCTACGGCTACGGCTACTCCGTCGGGCAACAGGGCCCCACTTCTGGCGAGCGAGGCCCCGGCGAGCCGCTTGGGGCACACCATCTACGACGGTGAGGGGAACCCCACACTTCAATTAGTCCAGCTTTGGGCATGCCGTAAGCAGTGCTCCCAATGCTCGCTTGGTCACTGCCAGGCTACCTTCAGCGACCGCTCCATGCAACAGCTACCACACCACCCACTTATGCAGAGACTGTAAGCGGGCCCGTGGTAGAGAGCGTCAAGAAGCCGCTTCTCAATGGAGCCAGGGCTATGAAGAGTGGGGCCAGAACCAGTCCGGCTGGGATGATCAACCCGCTTGGGGATCCTGGAACTGGAGTGGCCGCAACTGGCAGCACCAATGATGCTTTTGCCCCCGCTCCATGCTTATGCCGGCTTTGGCATTGAATCGCCCACTTTTGGGCTTGCCCATATAGATCAAGGGCAGCCCCGCTTGGGCTTGTGGGTATAAAGCGCCCGGCTTCTCCGAAGCCAGACATACTCGAGCTCCGCTTCCCGCTTGAAAAAGCCAGCAGACCCACGCCCCGCACGCTCGGGAACAGTTCACGCTTTGAACTTGTGGCTTGTTTTTCACTCTTGTTTCCCGCTTGGATCAAGAAAGACTTCCGGGCCCCCCCCCGGCTCTGGGTATCCCGCGCTCCCACGTTACAGGCCACAGATGCCCACTTGTCATCACTAGCAACATGCTTCCCTGCTGCAGGACCACTTCGGGCAACGCTGCATCCTCAGTTTCAGTTCTTTGCCTACTTTTGGCAGTATGTGCACCTGCTTCAGGTCAAGCGAAGATGGCTGACTTCACGCAACTAGTGGCCGACTGCAATGTGCCAGCAGCTGTCGCCCCTTTGCTTTCAGCATTCGACGTTGCTTTGTTTGCCCGGTCCTGCACCACTTCGGCAGAGCTTGAAGAGTTGGTGAACCACTTTCTGGCGGAAGCCTCAGTTACTGATGCAGCTGAGCGCTTTATCACCAAAGCTTCGCTTCGCTTGCTCTTTTGCAAATGCCGAACTTCAGAGGGCATGGCATCCTTGGAAGCCGCTCCCACTCCCACCACACCGCTTGGGGATGGGCCTCCCGCTGCTACCCCGGCTCCCCCGGCCACGCCTCCGCTTTCCAGCTCCTGGCAAGAGGCTTGGCCTGCGAAGCTGAGTGGGGAGCGAACCGCGGCGCTTAGGAAGAGGTTCGAGGAGGACTACCCCACTGAACTTCTTGACGCCGAGAGCTTTCCAAGCGCCCGCTTATTGGCCCTCACCAATAAGATGCTTTCAGACAAGGAGGTGCGATGGATTCCTTGGAAGTACCGCTTAAGCGCTCGTGCTCAAGAAGACAGTCTCCTCGTTCGGCCCAGGAAACAGGCCCGCTTTGACCTAACAGAGCTCTTTCTGGACGAGGCGCCTACACGTGACATACATGAAGGCCCCGCTTCCTTTGGCCTCGTCACTCAGCTTCTGTCACTGGCTGCCAATGCCATTGCGCTCTGTCAAGGTGCACATCTTGGGTCTCTGAAGCTTTATAATAAACGCTTCATGAGGATCTGCTTCACGAAGTACGATGCCGCCGCCAGCTTACGAGGTCCCACTACCGTGGAAGCCCAGGCCGCCGACCGCCGCTGTTGGGAAATCATCGCCGACTTAGTCAATGTGCACCACTGGAAGTTGGACGATGCGCTTCACGAAGTGGCCGAGGTGCGCTCTGACATGCACAGCCTGCTTGCACCGAGGCCCTTTATTCCCAAACCGAAGTTCGACCCGGACAACAGCTGGAAGGCCCGCTTCACAGGCAACGGTCGAGGCGGCAAAGGCGGTGGCCGCGGCGGCAAAGGCCGTGACGGCAAGGGCGAGAAGGGAGAGCGCTTTGAGAGAGGGGGCAAAGGTGGCAAGGGCAAGGACAACAAGCAAGCCACCCCCCCCGGCAAGTGGCTTTCCACCCTCTTCATGGATGGCAAACGTCAGACGCTTTGCATGAGGTACCAGAGCGGGCAGTGCAAGGACCCGGCCACATGCCGCTACTTGCACAGATGCGCAGTGCCTAAGAGTGACGGCACAGCTTGCGGAGGCAATCACCCAGCTTCGCAACATGTTGCCACCCCGCATTAGGAAACCCACTTCAGCGAGCTGCGGGACATCGCTGAGGAGGTCACGACCGTCCCGCTTAGTGTGCCGGCGCAACCGTCAGGCTCAGCAGGGGCCACTTCGGCACTGCCCAAGGCACGTGCCCTAGTCTCCGATGCAGCATCGGCACTCAGTGAAGGCTCTCTCGATTTCGCTACTTGCTTGGAGCTTCTAGCGCAGTACTTTTCCATTCCCTTCGCTTCTTCTTCTCTCTGCCCCGACAATGCCATTGCAGCCTCTGAAGCATATTTCAATTTGGGGGCTTTCGCTTTTGACAATGGCGCCAGGTCGGGCATCTTTCAGCGTACCGAGCAATTTTCAGACGTTCTTCGATTCTTGAACGCTTTTATGCAGCTTCAGTTCCCTGAAGCCTCCTGGAGCTCCCTCTGCGTCAGCCACAACGTTCGCACCCGCTTACACACAGATTCTGGCAACGCTGCAGGGTCTCTGAATCACACAGTTTCACTTGGCAACTTCAGCGGTGGCGAGGTTTGGCTTTGCCCCGCTTTGAACCAGGCGGCTTCTCAGGTACCAGCCCCCTTGGATGCCTCATCCGAGGCGCACAGTGCATCTGAAGCGGGTACAGGCGAGGTGCGCGACACATGGCACGCGCCGCTCTCCTTTAGCTGTGAAGCACTTCACTGTACGCTTCCGATACAAGGAGACCGGTGGGTATTGACTGCCTACACTTGCAAGAGCCTAGACCGCTTTGATGCAACGTCACTGGCACACCTGAGGTCTCTGGGCTTCCCGCTCCCGCCGGCAACCCCATGCCACCCGCAGTCAATACATCCCCCGCTCAAGGACACGACATGCGTGGAGCTCTTCCTGGATATATGCTGTGGGGCCGCTCACCCACTTACCACGGCGATGTCTTCATACGGAATCACTTGTCTGCCCATAGATCTACTGGGCGAGGAGCAACTCGACCTGCTCAACGACGACACCTACGACCACTTGCTTCGGCTGTGCTTTGCTGGGATCGTCCGCTTAGCTCACGGATCGCCACCCTGCAAGGAGTACTCCCGCTTGAAGCTTCGTCCAGGTGGACCTCCAGCCATTCGATCGCCGGATCACATGAATGGTCTGCCAGGGAACACCGCTTCTCAGCAAGCTAGAGTACACAGCAGCCAGAAGCTTCTATATCGTTGCGTATGCCTTCTGAGAGCAGCTTTTTGTTCAGGCGCACATGTATCCCTGGAACAACCCACTAACGCCATGTCCTGGCTTGAGCCTTTTGTTCAGGACATGCTTTCCGAAATACAGGCCTCACTGGTCAATATCCCGGCATGTTCAGTGGGACAGGATATAGCAAAATCGTGGCTTTTTGCTTGCAGTTACAGCGAATTCCGCTTTCTGGCAAGCACATGTTCGCATGCAGGAGGCCACCAGTCCGTCGCAGGAACCAGGGACGAACACGGGACCTTTTTGTCCCAGAGGACGGCGGAGTACCCGTCCCAGCTTGCCGAGAAATTCTCAGCGCAGGCAGTGCACTTGTTTTCTTCGGCAAGACCTGCTTATTCGGTTGCGCCCTGTTCCTTGAAGTTCGCACTGGCCTCAGTTCCCAAAAAGCCGCGTTCATCAACGCCTACAGCAGCACAGGATGGCGGGGGCATCTACTCTTTGCCCGACTGGTCCCTTGGCCCAAGGTACCAGTCCGACAGCTTACACGACCTGCGGAAGGAATGGCAATCTTGGCTGCTTCAGAACAGAATTCCTCTCAGACTCCAGCAACACGTTGCCGAAGCCAGCAATAAACCGCTTTTCTCAAAGGAAGAAACGGAGTGGCTTCGCTCTTCTTTCAAGCGCTTTTCGGACGCTCACTCCCCGTGCCAGGACTGGAACTTCTCAGTGACAGAAGGCCAGCCATACTGCTTGTCTGCACTGGAGCGCTTGAGTACTATGCTGGGTGACAAGGACACTTCCCTTTTCCCCGCTTTGCAGAAGGGTGTGCCTACGGGGTTCGACGGCGACATCCCTCGCAGCCACACACTCCGACCTCGTGATCCCAACAACTCAGACGAACCCACTGACCTGCTTGTTTGCGAAGGTAACTGGCAGGGGGCTGAGGCAGACCCGGCACTGCTTCAGGAGTTGATCGAGGAGGAGGTTTCGGCCGGCTACATAGAAGAAGTTCCCAGCTTAGAGGCTGCTTACGAAAGGTGGGGCAAGGATCGTGTTGCGGTGGGCCGTGTGAACATTGTCAAAGCCCCAGGACGCTCTGCCCGCTTGGTTATAGACAACAGCATCTGCAACACGAACCAGAACTGCCACGTGCCTGAACAGTTCTCCTTGCCCAGCCTCCAGGACATTCAGTCCGCTTACCCTCCGAGGGAGGACGAGGAGCCGGTTTCGGGTTTCAGCTTAGATGTGAAGGGAGCGCACAAAACTTCACTTGTGCGCGAGAAAGACAGAGGCCTGCTTGGACTAAGACAACAAGAACGCCTCTTTTTCTACCGTGTCTGTCCCTTCGGGGCCACTTTTTCTAGCCACTGGTTTGCCCGCTTAGGGGGCTTTTTCGTGCGCTGCCTTCACCTACTTATCTGGTTGTCACACGTCCTCATGCTGTACGTCGATGATTTGCTTCTCTGGCAAAATTCTCGTGCACTGCCGCTTAGCGCTTCTCTGGTCTTGGCATTCTGCGCCTGCTTCAACATACCGCTTAGTTGGCGGAAATTGCAGATGGGGCCGTCTATAACCTGGATAGGGTGGCAGATCGACTTCAAGGCTGGCTGTTACACTTTACCAGAGCTCAAACGCTTGAAGCTGCTTGTCCAGGTGGAGGAATGCCTTCGGCACCGACTTGTCAGCCGCAAACAGCTTGACAAACTGCTAGGTCTGCTTCAGTGGATTCTGCATGGTCTTCCTGCTTTACGCCCCTGGCTATGCACTCTGTATGATGACATGCATAGACCACTTGGTACCAATGTCAGCATCAGCCCAGTTGTTTGGCCAGGCATCCACTCTTACCTGGACGACAAGCTTCGCTTCACAGGTTGCCCCCCGGGCACGGGCATTTCACCTGGCTCAACGCTGCTTTCAGCTCGGCATAAGCCTCTTAAGAGTAAAGAAGACCTGGCTCTAGTCCCCGTAAGCACAAAGCGCATGTGGCTCCGAGTTACGGACCCCACTTCCTCCAAGCGGCGCTTATGTGAATCCAGCAGAGAAACCCTTGCCTTCTTTGCCCACTTGAGCTCCAGGGACTGGCGGCCCAGGCCACTTCGACCACCACCTACCAGTTCGGTGGAGTCGGCCGCAGATGCTTTCGGCAAGGGCAATGATTGTGGCGTGGGAGGTTGGCTCCTCCTCCCCAGCGGACGCCTGCTTTGGTTTGCTCACCGCTACACAGTCAAAGACTTCCTGGACTTAGGCCTACCCATGCAAGCAGATGCCAACCTAGACATCTCCAGCTACGAGACATTGGCACAGTGCTTTGTGCTTTTGGCTTTTTGGAAAGCCCATGGTTCCGGTCGCTTGGCTTTGACATTACCAGCTTTGAGCGATAATAGTGGTGCGGAGTCTGTGTGTAATAAGCTTTACACCTCTAAAGTACCACTTAACCTTTTCGTTCGCAAGCTTTCAATGTGGAGCTCGATTACCGGTGTCACTTTGGACTGCAGCCATATAGCTGGCGAGAAGAACGATGACGCAGACCTGCTTTCTCGGTGGGATGGCTCCGCGGAACTCCCTGCCAAGTTTCTGGCTTCGAACCGCATCGAGCTCTCACTTTCTGAGTTCTGGCAGATCCGCTTTCAAGTGACGCTTTTTCCCGCTGACACATTTTTGAAATGGCAGCTTCCGTCAGCTGACAGCTTGGGCCCGACAAACCGCGGTTCAAGGAAGCGCAAGTAGCTTCCTCACCTCACTTTTCTGCTTGGCCTTTTCACTACGTTTGCGAGGTTTCGGCTTGCCAGTTTCAGACCCGGGCTTTTGCGACTGCTCCGCTGCTTCAGCTTTTGCTTTACGATCTCGGACGGATCAAAGATCCGATCGGGATAGCCGACGTCTGAGCAGTCGCTTTACCGGCAAGCCGAAAAAAGGACAGTGTGCGTACCTTCTTGCATGCTCCAGCTTTTACCTGCTTTCGCTTCGCACAGCATTCCTCGCAGTAGCCTTTTGGTGTTGCGTGGTGTAGCAATGTCCTGAACGGTTCCTGTGTTTACTCAGGGTTGTTTCGGACTTACTCTTCCCGCGGCCCCGCTTGGGTTCAAGCATACACCACGCAACAGCAGCTTGCTTTCAAAAACTTTCCCACCCGCCCATACCTTTGGGCACGCTTTCAGCGCAGGGAGCTTTTCAGTCACAGCCCGCTAGACAGTCTTGTATCGCTTTCCGCTGTTATTGCTCTAACTACTTCTCAGCTTTGTCACTACTTATCAGCTTTGTTGCTCTTTTGCTTACACGCTTACATGACGATACGGGCTTTTGCGACTGCTCCGCTGCTTCAGCTTTTGCTTTACGATCTCGGACGGATCAAAGATCCGATCGGGATAGCCGACGTCTGAGCAGTCGCTTTACCGGCAAGCCGAAAAAAGGACAGTGTGCGTACCTTCTTGCATGCTCCAGCTTTTACCTGCTTTCGCTTCGCACAGCATTCCTCGCAGTAGCCTTTTGGTGTTGCGTGGTGTAGTAATGTCCTGAACGTAGCCCACCGCAAGGTGGTGCCACGCCGGTGAATGTTGATCTTAGTGAGAGCTCCGGTCCGCAATCAAGCCCACCGCAAGGTGGTGCCACTGCGTCGGTTGTTCAGGGTCCTAATAATCCGTGGGTTCGTACCCTGCCTAACCCGAGGGAGATTCCAGCTGCTCTTCGGGGTGTTTTGGGAAGGCCCCAGCGGTTTAACATTGCTGAGCCTGCGGATACGAAGGCCCCCGGCGTAGAGGTGTCGACTGCTGAACAGAGTGATTTGAAGGAACCGGTGACCCCCAAAGACAACAAACAGCCTAGTGTAATCCTCGCTGAAGCGCTCAAGTCAGTCATCCAGAAGCCTGAAGACGACAAACCGAAGGCTAAGGAAGCTGAGACGGTGAAGCTACCCGACTTCCCCAACCCGGAAACCTACAGAAGCTGGAAAATCACGGTTAGGGGAGCTGTCAGGGCGGCATCGGACAAACCCGATGAGGCGTTCAAATGGGTTCAAGCGGTTTATTCGAGGGACGCTGACATTGAGCGGTTGAGGGATACTGGCAAATTCCTCACATTGGATACAAAGATCTTGTCAGCACTTTCGCGAGTTGCCAGGGGTGACCTAGGTCGACAGATCATAAACTACAAGGAGTCGGAAGCTTCTGCTGGTAGAGCGGTTCTCGGCAGACAAGTTTTGCTTATGTTTGAGCATTACTTCAAGACGAACGAAGAAGCCGGATCACTTTACTCCGTAGAAGACCTCCTCAAGGTCCAGCTGAGCGGGGATGACCTCAGTACCTTTATCCACAACTGGGAATCGGTTAATTATTGCTGGTCTGAACCACCAACCGGAGGAAACAACCTTGAGAGACATCCTTCTCCGACAGCTTCGCAATTCTAGCAAGCTCAAGTTTGATTTGGAGGTCTACGACAGGGCAAAAGAAGGAACGGATCAACACACTTATGATTACCTTGTCAAGTGTGTCAAGGAGCTTTTGGCTAGGGATAGAACCCGTAAGAACAGGACGGCTATCGCCAAGGCCCACGGGGCTAAATTTGATGCTCCCGCTCCCTCTGATGCTCCTCACACCCCTCACGGTAGAAGTCAGGACAGACCTTGCTATGCATTCCAGCGGGGCAAATGCCCCAGAGGTGACAAGTGCCCTTACAAGCATGTCAAGCCAGAACAGACCAGGGGCAAGACTCCTCCTAGAACTCCTTCTAGGAAAGGTGGAGGTAAAGGTGGCAAAGGCGGGGATAAGAAGGATACTTCAAAGATTCCGTGTACCTTCTTTCCCAAGGGTACCTGCAAGAATGGAAAGAACTGCCCTTTCATGCACAAGGACGCCAGCCCATCTGTCCCGGCCAAGGGAGACAAGCCTGACAAAGGCGGTAGGAGATCGCCATCCGGCAAGCGCAGGCACCCCAGTAAGAAGAGGGCTAAGCGCGAGGACAAAACGGCAGCGTGTTGCCTTTCACTCACGGGTGAGCCCTCATCTGATGCTGGGAAGTCTTTCGCGCTAGCAGCCCGCAAGGGCCATGCCGTGAAGCAGAAGACCAAAAAGGTCCAATTCCTGAGGCCAGAGATCATCGACATTCCGCTTGAAGGTGAAGGTTGGAGGTTCGTCACAGAGAAGCGTAAGTACGATTTCAGGTTCAAGTCGGCGGACCAGTGCCCACCATCAGGCCCGGAGGACACCGAAAAGGCCTTGCAGAATGCCCGTTACTTGGAATCGGCAGTGAACGGTATGAGGCTTAAGGTTCGGGTCAAGTGCAACTACAGGTGTCGGGGTAGAGAAGGATTCTGCGCGAACTGCAAAGAAGCCATTCCCTTGCCCCAACTTGCTGCAGCAGCGGTGACAGGTGAAAACCTCGAAATCATCGCAGACACCGGTAGCGAGGAAGACTTGATTAGTCACTCTGATTTGGAGGCCCATTTCAAGGGCAAGGCTAAGAAGGTTGCTTCCAACCCAGTGAGTTTGATCACTGCGAACGGACCCGTAGATGCTGAGACGAAGCACGAGGTCTACATTGAGTCATTGAAGAACCCTTTGCAATTCGTTGAGCTCCCCAACACTCCTGCAGTTTGCTCTGTAGGGAAGAAATGCATGGAACAGGGATTCTCTTTTCATTGGCCTTCGGGTGAGGCGCCATATTTCATTTGCCCAGACGGCCAGAAGGTAACATGCCAGCTCCGAGGCAACATTCCGGTGTTTGGCGACCGAGGACCATTGATGGCATGCACAGCTGCAAAATCTTCAGATTCGGACGGCAGCAAGGTTGCACCAACCTCTGTAAAGTCTGATTCGGGTTTTCGGTAAACAGCTGCCCGCGAGGGCATGCCGCACCAGCAAGGGGGGAATCCTCCCATTCCTGGGGTGGAAACACGGCAACTGCTAAAGGCAGGTTGGACGGTCATCAACGGCAGCCCCGCGGCTAAGGTGGCTCATTTCCCAAAGACTTTTCGCACACCAGCTCCTAAGTTCCCGAGGTATAGAATCCGGACTACTTGGGGATTCAAGGATGACGTGTGGTCTTTGTTGGAGGATTCGGTCAACATTGACGAATTGGACGGTATCTATGGGGAAGTACCTGAAGGGACTATTGCAACCATTACATTGTTTGCTTTGCCTGAAGGGGAAGTCGAGGCGCAAGCCGACAGCGATGTCGAGCCATATGCAATGCCAAAGTCTAAGAAGGATGAAGCTTCCTTGAGGGCTGAGGCTATGTCATTGGAACATCGACTGACCCATAGGCCAAAGAATCCGTTCTGCCCCATTTGCCAAAGGGCCAAGATGTATGCGCCACAGGCGCGAAAATCTGGTGGACCCTCTACAATCTACAGTAAAGCGTTCGGTGACCACATCACAGTAGATCACATCGTGACTGCTGATGCCAAGGATTACGGGTTTCAAGAAGAAACCGTCGCTCATGTTGTGAAGGATGTGTACTCTAAGTTTCAGATACGTGTATCCTTCCAAGACAAAGTCTGGTGAGCAATGCTACGAAGACATGTTGCATTTCCTTGACACCGATGATGAGGTCAAAGTCATTTATTCCGATAATGCTTTGGAGTTTGACTTTGCAGCCGCAGCCAGGCAGCTTCGTGCCCGTCACAACACCTCCAGGGAGTATGTGAACGAAAATAAGGCTGTAATCGAACGTGAAATCAGAACTATCTTAGAAGGCACACGGGCCAGTCTAGTGCAATCTGGTCTCCCAGATCGCTACTGGCCAGTAGCATCCCAACATCATGCTATGTGTCTTAACATCACCGCGGGAATAGACAATGGTCAGGTCCCGTGGGAACTCAGGTACGGTGAGAAGTTCAACGGCGTGGGCATTCCCTTTGGAGCGAAAATCCTCTATTGGGCACCCACGAAGCAACGCAAGCCTGAACGATCCAAATTTGCTGGCACTGGTATTGAAGGTATATTCCTCGGGTATTACATTCAGCCCGGTTTTATCTTCAAGTGTGAGTACGTTGTTGCTCCCCTCCACAACATTGAAGCCGCGTTGGAGAACGAAGACTTACGTGTGTTTCGTACAGAGAGACTAGAGCTACCTGATGGTGACTTCAAGTTCCCTTTGGATAAACCACCAAGCCTTGATGCACAACATCACAACGTCCTTGACGAGCAAAACCCGAATCCTCCTCTGGAGGAAGGGGGTGGATACGACGAAGACGAAACTCAGGCACAGCTTAGCCAAGACCTGGATGAAATGTTCCCAGAGCTATTTGGTCCTGATCGTGACAAAGATCCTCCGCCGAAGGACGCGAAAGCCGCCCGCAAGGGTGAGCCGGAGTTAGATTCCCGAGCAGCATTGCTTGATGACGTTCCGTTTTCTGTTAAGCAGAAGCTGAAGTCCAGCGCAGCAGTAGCAGCGCATCAACCACCGTATGGTTATGTTTGGAGTGGTGAATGTTTGGTCAAAAAGAAGAACAAGAATCGCCCCAACGCTGTTGATCATACTGCATGGAAGACTATGTCGAGAAGACAAAGGGCGACAGCAATTGCCGAACATGAGAAGAAGCTACATGAGGAGAATGGGGCACTGTATCGTGAAGCTATAAAGGTGGTACCTGCAATGCCAGTCCTACATGGTTGTAGCGAGGAACACCGGGAACGACTCAAAGAACTGTACGACAAAAGGGTTTCCAGATCGCAGATGAAATGTATGCTGCTGTCGCCAAGGTCCTGTCGTCTAAGGAGATCGCATCGAACCCTGAGGCGCAGGCTGCTATGGACAAGGAATGGAAGCAGCTGGTTGACAAAGGCTGCTGGGTACAGAACAAGGTTAGGGAGTTCGAGTCGGTTGCCACTGAGGCTAAGAAATCTCAGACCAAGGTACACTTTGGCGATGTTCTCGAGATTGGTACCCTAAAGGGAGCCGAGCTGAAGGAAGGTGACCCTAATCGAAAGTATAAGGGACGTTCGGTATTTCAGGGGAACAAAGTACTTGACGAAATCGCCGATCACGCTCTCTTCGCGGAGATGTCGAGCAGTCCTGCATCCATGGAAGCAGGGAAGATCCTAGACGTCTTCGGCTCCCAACCGGGTTCATCATCCAGCAGGCCGACGCGAAACAAGCATACACTCAAGCCCTGCTCCAAGGAGTTGCCACTTGGGTAAGATTGCCTCGCAATCGTTGGCCTAAGGAATGGCGGGGTATGAAAGACCCTGTTGTCCCACTCAGATTGGCGCTTTACGGACACCCTGATTCAGGGGGGATTTGGGAGCATCACTGCGAGACGGAGCTAAAGAAAGTTGGGTTCGAAGCAGTATTGACGGACATTTTGGAAGAGTGTATTCTACCACCCGAAGAAGAAGCTGCTGCTAGTGGTTTACGTTGATGACTTTAAGCTCGCTGGCCCTAAGAACTCTATCAAGGAGGGATGGGGTCTTATTTCGATCGTCATTGATATGGATCTTCCGGAAGCTATTGGTAGATACTTTGGGTGCATGCACAAGGAAGAGCACAACCTCAAGCTGCCCAAGGAAGCACACCCATTCCGTCACGTGTTTGAGCCTGAATCATCAGCTGCAACTCCTGCTAGAAAAGAAGATTATTGGGACATTGACCCCGAGAATCTCATAGCAATCCGACATCACCGTTACCCTTGTAAGCGATTGTATGTTCCTAACGAGGACGACGCTAGAATGTTCCCGGGGATTGGCCCTCGGCGATACACGGTGGTGGCTAAAGCCACCCGCAAGGGTGAGTCGGAGGAAGTTGTTGTTGACAATTGCAACTAAATGCGCGATCGCTGTCTTCAGGATTGGTGGGATGGCGAAACCTACTTCGACCTTGGAGGCCGGGAACAGTCTGATTTCGAGCTGGCAGTTGCAGCTACCCGCAAGGGTAAGCCGGTTCGTAACAAGTCTGAGGCTAAGAAAGAGGCGAAGCAAAGCAAGTTCATTTCCCTTTCACAAGACCAGAAAGCGAAGCCCGGTGCACGCATCACTTTTGACATGAAGGACTTCCTGGATTCCTGTGTTGAGCGGTATTGTGAGCTTGCCAAAGTTGAGCGCAAAACCCTGAAACCAGCTGTGACCCCGGTGACCCCCTTTCATGAACTTCGTGTGGCGTTGACAACAGCTTCTGAAGGGGAAAAGGCAGGGCGGTTGCAACCGATCGCAAGTAAGGTGTTGATGAACATTTTATTTGCTGCTCGCATGGCAAGATGGGATCTTTTGAGGGCAACGCAGTCTTTGGCGTCGAGGGTGACCAAGTGGAGTCCGGATTGCGTTTTAGGACTTCATCGTTTGGTTTGCTACATCAACTCTTCGCTTGATGTCCCTATGAGTGGTTTCATCGGTGACAGTATTATGGATTGCAGACTTTGGTTGTTCAGCGATTCCGACTTTGCGGGTGAGTTTGACTCAAAGTCAACAACTGGGTGTGCGATGTTTTTGGTTGGGCCGAACACGTACTTCCCACTCAACGCCTTTAGCAAAAAGCAAACTTCGATCACAATGAGCTCTACTGAGTCCGAAATCGTAGCGGCAAACCATGGTTTACGTGCCGAAGGTCTACCTTGCCTGAGCTTGTGGTATTTCCTCTGGCGTGGAGATGCCGGCCGCAAGGCCGAGCCAAGGGCTGAGAGGGTGGACTCGATAGTCGCACGAATTGACCCCGAACTTGATGAGATTCGATATGGGTCCAATAGACCGGATGGGTTGTCGATAGCAGACATCAGTGGCCTCTGCGTCCAACTTCCTGAAAGTTTTGAGGTTGGGCATTTGGAGGATAACGAAGCAACTATCACCCTTTCGTTGCTGGGGCAAGCTGGTGTTCTACGACATACAGATCGGACGCAGAGGGTAAGCTTTTCATGGCTAAAGCAGCAATATGAGAATGGGCACTTCAAGCTACTGAATGGCGGTACAGCTGAACAAGTGGCGGATGTTTTCACGAAGCCTTTCACTGAAAAGAACAAGTGGACGCATGCCCTGAAGCTCATTGGACATACAACCAGCGCGAATGTAGCCGGGTGCAAGCCCGAGTCGAAGGTCGAGGTCGACAACAAGGTTTCGGTAGCAGCAGCTCCGGATGCAGCAAAGGCCGTCGAGGACTTCGCTAAGCAATCGTTCGACTCTAATGACTTCAGTTTCAAGACCTTCGAGAAGCTAGCTGGACTTATTCGTATCAATCTCGAAGCTTCATTGGCAAAACCGCGATCATATATGGCTTTCGAGACAGTATCCAAGTACTTGGTATTCGGCGCTTGGGTTCATGGAGGATGCTTTGGTGTTACCAATCGCACAAAACAATACCCATGGATTTGCAGGTATGTCAACGAATTTGTTAAGCGATCATCGCCGAATGGGTTTACATGGACTTCGTTCGTGTTCAACTTCAATGGCAAGGCCCGCAGATAAGTACAACCAAAAGGAATCGTACAATTTGACGTTCTCCTTCGGTAACTATACAGGGGGGACACTGTGGATTGAAGGAGCAAGCCAATTGGGACCGCCGGCAATGTACAAAGATGATCATGGGCAAGACCACAAAGGCAACAACTGCAATACATACCGCAAGCCCACTCTGCTGCATCCTTCTACAAAACACGGGGTACAACCCTACACTGGTGAACGACATTCATTCATCGCCTACTCATCAGGGGGGTACCAGAAGTTTAACAAGAAGCAAAAGCAGATCCTACATCAAGCACAGTTCCTCTTGCCTACGGCTCAGTTGAGGTTACCAGCTCAGAAAGCAATGGTTTGTTTGGGGTTATGTGTTCGTTCCCCTTCCGATGAGGGGGGTAGGGTTTCAAAACCGTGTTCTCGTTTCGAACATGATTCGTTTGCACACATCGCTCGAGTGCACAAACACACAACAAGCTGCAAGCCTTGACCATATAGTCACGACTTCTTCCTGTATGTGCACGACTACCATTGCAACATCAGCTGGCTCTGAACTCCCCGCCTCGCCAAAAGCAGCAATCTCGATCTCCACAATGGCCGCTATCTTGGTCAACGACATCTTCTGCAAGGTCGACACTGGCTCGGCTGATCGCCCAGGAGTGACTAAGGCAATGAAGACTCTCCTTCAGTCCGCCGCTTTGAACAATGATATCGGCTCTCTTGGCGCAGACAACGAGTACAAAATGCTGGAATCCGCATACTCATGCGTGTCCACGCAATGCGCGGCGGGCGTCTCGCTCACACATGCAGACGCAAGCTGTGCCGCCTTGCGGCAGTTGGCCGACTTGAGCGATGAGGGGATGGCGAAGCTGAAGCCAACCGCAAGGTTGAGCCCTAAGGCCAAGCGAGCTCTGATCTTTGTCTCTGACAGCAGTACCGCGCCCTGTAAGAAGAACCGCAGGGGGGTGTTAATCAAGACCGACTTGGATCAAGAAGTGAACCTCGCTAGCGTGACGCTTGGTTGGTCACAGACTCGCTATTCGATGTGCTGGGGCAAGACCCTGGCCTGGATTGTGTGGCAGGTGGAGGAGCATGTCCGCGAGCTCCGTGCCAACTTTCCCGACCACATCATCGATGTTATCTGCTGGTGGTGTGGGCATGAGATCTCCGGTCAGTGGGGCTGCATTCCCACGAGACTTGGTCCGGGCCTTGCCTACCGCGACCCGAATGTGACCGCGGAGACTGTGGCGCGGAAAGTCAGGCGATCTGCGGATGTGTTAGCCGCCCTCACAGGCGAGCCGGACATTGGTTTTGTGAAGGTGATTGGAATGGTGGACGCGGATCTCTTCCAGCTCCACTCGGCGTACAATGCCTTCAACCAGGCCATGTTTGAGGAATTCCGTACACGGAATCTTCAAACCCGATCTGCCACTCCATTGGTCGAGAAGCTCGAGATGTACGACTCGTTCCATGCGTCGGAGGATCCGCGAAACCGCGACCTGTTTCAGGCTTACCTCCATGCGACGCTCAACGTCAGCAAGAGTGAGTGGATCGCCCAGAAGCTGAACCCCTGCGTGAGGGCCCTCCTCACTCGCTATGAGCACATCGAAACGGGAACTGAGGTCGAGAGTCCCGTGCTCCAGGAAGTGTTCAGCAAATGGCGTGCAGAGAAGGACCAGCTCCTGAATCCGAAGCCTGCAAAGCCACTGCCGGTGACTGAGGAGGCCGCCGACATCACGAAGATCACCACAGGTCCGCCCATGGATAAAGCCATCCGCAAGGATGTGCCAAGGATCGGCACAACAACCGATGTCAGTGCTATCGGCTATCGCGGAGTGTGTCAACGACGTTGTCACCCAAGATGCAGACGGTAAGGTATCCTACGATGTCCCAGGCACAGTGGAGCTGGTGGATGAAGGGGAATATGAAAACCCCATTCCCTCGTCAATGGGCAGAGTGCTGGAGCCTGTCGCGCCCAAGAAGGCCAAGAAGTCTGATCGCGACGAAGATGCTCTGCGAAAGCTCATGTTCATTGATGAAGCGCCCCGCAAGGAGCTGCCGCTGTGCCCGAGAAGTTGCCGAACGAGTACTTCTATAACGGTGCAAAGCACCTTATGAAGCCGTTCAATCCCGAGGACATCGTGGGGGACAAGAACGTGTGCTTTAAGCACGGCGACTTGAGGTTCCTCACCAAGCTGCTCCGCGGCTACGCATTGGACGACTTCCCGCTGATCTTTGACCGCGGGTGTTGGACGGACGTGGATGCCCTTCTGCAAACCTTCAACACCGCCAGGGGGGCACGATGGGGAGTCCGTCAGTTGCTTCGCGCAGCGAAGGCGGATAACAAAGGAAGGATCCGGCTGCTCGGCATCGATGTCCCAATGAAGGACACGATAGGCCAGCCTCTGTTCCCCGTAAGGGTGAGAATGGCTCAGGGCCACAACGAGAAGCTCGTTGGGAACAACTCTGATGCCGACTTCTTTCTGGCGACGCAGTTCTACAGCGGGCTCTCGCAGGATGAAGCTGAGGCACAGAGTAGCGTGCGTGGAGTCACTGTGCTCTCGAGGGAGGAAACGCCGGCCAAGCTCTACCACAGGACCAATGAGCGAGGCATGAACGGCATCCTTCGGGACGGTATGATCCCAGGCTCGGCCCGGTCCGCCCGAGCGCACAACTATCTCTCGCCCTACCGCCTTGACGACGCACAGTACAAGAGCGGCGTGAGATCCAACCAGCCGATCGAGCACGCGATTGACACCCAGCGCGCCATTAGTGCAGGGTGCGTGTTCTTCGCCACGGAGACCGATGGTGTTCTCACTCGCGACACGATTCCCCCGGACTGCATCCTCACCGCTGTGGACACCAGCAAAAAGAACCTCCCTCTCTATGTCGCGGAAAACAAAGAAGCCGCCCGCGAGGGTGAGCTAGGGCACACTTTCCGTGCTAAGCGCGACTATGAGGAGGCAGCAAGCTCATCATCGGCACCACTGCCAAAACAGGCGGCTATTGCTCCAAAGGCAATTGCTTCCAAGAAGATGCCGAAGGTGGCCACCAAGCCCGCCGTGATCGTCGAGGAAGACGTGACCATGGACTTGGATGAAGCCACCCGCAAGGGTGAGCCTGCTGATGCTGCTGGTATTGCCCCCGAGGAAGAGGAGGGCGACACATCGGACGCGGGTGGAGAAGAGCCATATCCTCTTGGATCGCATCCACGCAAGGAGTGCTCAGCTATCGTCGCGAATGGCATGTTGTTTTGCCTGCGATGCAAAGCTCCTCAAACGAGTGATTCGGCAAAGGCAACAAAGCGGGTGTATGAGAACTCACGCCTTCCCCAGCGCATCCTTGCAACAGCTGCGGCGGGCGCCCACAAGCCGATCGAAGAGCTCCTCACTAGCGATCTTCGAGGAATCGGCGATGGCCCCAAGAAGCGAGGCTAGATTGGCTAGATGAGTGCTGAAGCCGCTGTCATCCGTGATGCCAAAGATCTCAAACAGCGATCGGCGAAGATGAACTATGCCTCGGTGTCCGAGCGCTTCGAGAATGACGACCAATTCCGCATGAGGATGATGCAAGAGGGACGTAGCCTAGAGGACATGCAGAAGTTCGACTACCTCGCCTCCGCAGTGCTTCCCGATCCCGGGCGCACCGAAGAGCAACGGCACCTCCGTGCTGGAGCTCACTATGGCGGCGGCGGCATTGCTCCTGCTAAGCTCGTCTTCTTCGCCCACTGCGAAGTGGAGCCGTTGAGAACATTGCGGTTTATCGACAACACTGCAGATGTTCCTATCGGCCTCACATACATGAGCGCCTTCCTCTCGCCAAAGCTCTTCTCGGAGATCGCCACGTCAACGAAGCCGCCAAGCGCATCCTCACCTTTGATGGCGAAGTTCATGTGACCTCTACGACCGCTGATGGGATCGCCGCTGAGCTGGCTCAGATGATCTCAGACAGCCTCAATAGTGCTGAGGATCAGACCCGCCAGACAGAGCGATTGGCTGAGCAAAATCGCAAGCCGCAGCACGCAACCGCCCATCCCAAAAGGGACGTGGCCGTGCGGCTGATGCTGATCCCATGTACCGCTGGATACACTCAGGCCCAATGGGACGAGTACTATCGCCAGCAGCGTCGCGGCCAGTACACGCAAGCCGAGTGGGATGCATGGAACCGCACCCATAGGCGCTGAGTGCTGGTCTGCACCATTTCTCATTTTGCTTTGGACCTGCGGGGCTCCTCCAGTCGTGCTTTATAAATGCTCGCTTTGGCAACTTTGCAAAATCCTCTGAAGCCCGGGGCAACCTGGAGCCAGTGTATCTGTACGCCTTAGGTGGAGCAGCACGGCGAGGGGGGTGTAGATTTTAGCCTGCCTCCATCACTACTTTTGTGGTCCTTAGCTATTCTCTTACGCGACGCACCGCTTGGCCCAAGTCCCCAATGGAAGAAGCCCACAGGGTTGATTTACCGGTAGTTAGTCGTGTCTAGCTGTTGACCTGGGGAACTTCAAAGATGACATTGACGAGTAGGATGACAATGACGATGAGGATGACTTTGATGGTGAGAGATGATGAAGAAGCAGATGATGACGACGGCGAGTGCGATGACTGGCGATGCTGACGATGTTGATGACACTATGAACAGGACTCTGATGATTGATGCGATGGTGCCTTGATCGATGGCGCCTACGACACTAGTAGTCACATTTTCAACGACGGTTATTACAATGGCGACGGTAAATTTTGGTGATGGTGCTGACGATGATGGTGATGGTGATCGTGATCGTGGTGATGAACATCATGATGACGATGATGGTGGTGTTATTGATGATGAACATGCAGATGATGGGGAGGATTCAGGATGAAGATGTGGTTGTAGGGGGTGCTTATTGCGACGATGGATGATTTTGGGCAGCTAGCTCGGGGGAATTCGGGGTTTCGCGAACCTGCTTTGCAGGCCTGTGTCTACTTGACCGGATCTTTCGAGAAATGGCATGAGGTGACGTTCACTAAAATTGTTGTGAATCACGGGCATGGGTGGTCCTGTGTAATGTTCAGGGTTGAGGGTTTTTGTACAGGGTTTTTTGTCTCTCCGAGCTGTAGGCGGGAAAGCAGAGAGTAATTCTACCGATTGCGTAGATGCTTAACACGCGGAATCACAAGGTGCACCTCAAACTTAGTTTTTTTCAGGCTGTGCAGGCTTACGGGAGTTTCACTTGTTTCACTCACCTGTTGGTGAGGTACTCGCAGGCAACGCAGCGTGTGGCTGCTGTCACCACTGCCAAGGAGTTTTGGAGGCCGTGCCGGCGGAGTTGGAGGGAGTGTTTGGACCCGTTTCAGTTGTGGTTTGTTTGCGCAGAGTCGCTGTTCATGAAGCAGCAATTGCAAGGTGCCCGAAATCTTGTTTCATGTATCATACTTCGTACTCGGTGTGCAATCGAAGGAGGTGCTAATTCGGTGACATGTTGACAGGGCTGTGGCTTGTTATCAGAAACCTGTGGCGGGGTTTCGGGACGCGCGGATCTGATGTCCGGCCGTTCTCTTTGAAGTTCAGCCTGTGCTGTTTCACTGTAGCACCTTTAACCCGGCACAGGTGGCCATTCGAGTCTTTCTGAACCCGTCAAAACCTTCTGCATGCAAGCGTGCCCGATTCCTTTGAGACGTGGGCAGTGACGAGCAGAGCCCCTTTCCCGAGGTATTGGAACCACATGCCCCAGCCGTCGTTGCTGCTCGAGGGCAAAAAGTTCATGAGAGTCAAGGCTCGCTTCGCGAGTCAAAGCCCCAACTTGATGTGTGCACCTTGAACCCAAACTATGCACTGATGCTGTCCTTCATGCTCTGCCGTCACAATACCCTTAAGCCGAAGACCCTGTAAGTTGATTCATGTGGTCGCGGTTGCGACTCCGAGCATCTCTTGGAGGATAAGGTTTCCGTCACACTGGTACGTCGTTACGTGCTTGGGGCTTGCGAGTTATTATGCGAGCAATTTCCAAAGCCTGCTCCATCGAGTCTGCTCTTCGTTCACCCTTTGCTGGAAACTGCCAGGGCGAGGCGCGCCACGTGGTCGACGCCTGGACCTTGGGAGTGCTCTGGGCTTCGCAACTTCAAATCTCACGTGAGCTGTGTGTTCAGATGCAGAGTCCTCGTCTTCCTACGGCAGGCGAATGCACTCATTTCCAAATTTAGTTGCCGGTTCATGTGCGTGTCCACCCGTCCAGGGTTTGCCTGAAGAATGATAACAGAACAAGAATCTTATCTGGAACATCCTCGGCAGCCGAACCCCAAAGAACTTTAGCTGTGAACCCCATACCCCTATATAAGGTGTTCCCACTTTGCCAAAATTCCGTCGATTTCTGAACCGCTCAGCCCGAACCTCATGTTTGGGAGCCACGAGGCTTTGATGATCTTCAAGGATGGCATCCGCCCTGAGTGGGAGGCCGGCTGGGTTGCATCAGCTGGCCAAAACACTTCGTCAGAAGCCGTTTCTTCCTTTTTGCATGCAAACATATTTTTGGTACTGTCCAGCCCCATTGACTCCGGTTTTCCTCTCGTCTCTCTACTCCTTACCATGGCTACTGTCACCCTCTCTTATCTCCGCGTCATCTTACATCGCCATCACAATCGCTACTAGCACCGCCATGATGGCGACGACTACTATCATCCTCGTCGCTACTGCTGAATCGTATCGCCCGTAGCATCAGCTTATGCTGTTACTCCGAGTCGACCCTTTGCTGCTCACAGTTTTGGTCATGGCCTTCCTGGGCAGTCTCAGTCTTTCAGTAGCTTCGCCAGCTTCATGACTGTCAACATGACGGAATGACGGAGACAAGGCTCTGATCATTCGTTATTTGCGCCTCCAAGCTGACCATTGCTATGTGACTGTATGAGGTGGAGTACGTCCAGGTGGAAACACAGTTCCTGTCGATCTGCCAAAGGATGCTGCGAATGCGGCCGGGGGGCACTTCACCTTCCAATTGAAGGCCTTGAGTGGAAGTCGGAGGAGCTGTTTGGTAGAGTGCAGCGTGGAGCAATTCTGGTTCACTTGTGTTTGCTGCAGGCCGTCAATCTGAGAAGACCTAAACCCGTTCGCAATGATGCTGATGCTGTTCATTGTTCTGACGGTGATATGTGCTGCTGATGATGATGGTGGTGACAGATATGACTCCCCCAATATTAAATCCCCTAATATAGAAATAACTCGCCGCCAGGATTTCGCGATTCCTGGCCCACAATTGAAAGTTAATTAAAAACATCAGGTGGGAGCTAGGATTGTGTGAGTTTTACTAGAGCCAAAGATTACAGCTGTACTAATCAAACCGAAGAGACCAGAGCTTTAGGGTTTAGGGCTCAGGGCTAAAGCTTTAGGTTTTAGGGCTTTAAGGCTCAAAGTGCAGGGCTCAAGGTTTAGGGCTTAGGGCTTCAAGGCTTAGGGCTTTAAGGCTTAGGGCTTTAAGGGCTTTAGGGCTAGGGCTACGTGGATGCCCCGAACCCCCCCTAATATTAAACCAGAATCCCGGAAATCTATTTTTATATTAAGAGGGGGGGAGAGGGGGTTTTAATATTAGGGGGGAGGGATTAAGAGTGCGATGGTCGTGTCTGGCACTTGTGTAGCAGGCTGTCATCGGCGGCGGGGTGATTGACGAGTATGGGCCCCGGCGCAGACACCTCCCTCACATCCCAGACCTAAAACCTTGAGGTGTAGGATAGCTTCAGAGTCTGAGGTTGCAGGTAGTGTACCGTTTTCAAAACCTGAAATCAAACATTGAAAAATTTGAAGCATGCTGCACAGATCATAGTCGGGTGAAGTCATCATGGCCCCGAATGTCCGATCTTCGGCGGATATCACTTTAGAGCGCTGTGTCGTAGCGTAGCCGCTTCGCATTGTCTTGCGTTCATTGGTTTTTCGATTGTTTTATGATTTCCCGACTAGCATGCACAAGGTGAGAATAGGTGAGAGCATGACATCAAGTGCATGTAGATACAATGGGTTCACTTGATGCCTAGTCTGTCACGTCTCATACCATACTTGCAGCAGAAAGTGTGAATTGGACATTATCACAGAGTAAGTGTTGACAGCCGACGAAAACCGCAAGTCCCGAGTTACCCTGACAAAACCATACAAATCCAATCCCGAGGACTTGTAGGACGCCGCTTTGAATCCATGTCCAAAGGTTCTGATGCACGTTTGCTCTCAGCTTTTCCTTCGGTTGAGCGACTGATGACTTCTCCGACCTAGTTGTGAGTCTCAGGCCCTGCTCTGATTGCAGGGCTCGAAAACGACATCTGCTTTGCATCGAGACTTAAAAGGTTTTGGTAAAGTGCTTATCCACGCACCTTATCCAGCGATTACGCGACAAGCTACGAACTGTCAGGTACTGGAACAACATTGTCCTCGGGGTGATCGGGGGTTCGGTTGAGACGCAGGCTCAGATCAGCGCTTCAGCAAA